TTTTAGCTTTATTTTTACATTTTTCGATCACAGCGCGATGTTTTCGTCGCGCTGTGATGACGTCAAATGCGCGCTTTCGTTGAGCGCGATTTTGTGGTGGAACCGGGTGGCATGACTTCCTTCATTGGTTTACTTGCATTCCACTGCAAATAGTGGATGGTTCTTGCTACCCATTGATGAATCCCCATACTAAACCATAGTTCAACTGTGCTTTGTTGTGTAAGGTACAATTGATCTGGTTCCTCAAGTTGCTATAGTTGAAGCTATGCACCATATTAAAATCAACATTGTTTCTATGAACGTATGAATCTATGCCTCTGACCTGAGCCTCAGTAAAATGGTATATTGTATGAATGCTGACTGAAAAATCTTCTGGGTATTTTCAGAGACACTTATATTGCTTGGGGAAGACTTTTCGACTGATCTGAAAAAGTATTTTGGGCATCTTTAAATACCTTCCTTTATTGTTCATGCTTTGGCAGGGCATCACTTCAGATTTGTTTCCTGGTGTGAAGTTGCCGAAGCCAGATTATAATGACATCCTAGAAGCGATCAAGACAAACTGTGATGAAATGGACTTGCAAATGACTAAATTCTTTGCAGAGAAAATCTTACAGATATTTGAAATGATGATTGTGCGTCATGGCTTTATGATAGTTGGAGAACCCTTTGGCGGAAAGACCTCTGCCTATCGTGTTTTGGCAGGTGCCTTGGGTGACCTGTGTGAAAAAGTAAATATTTGCTTTTGTAAAAGATCTTATTCCAAAGGCTGTGCTTCTGTTCAAAGTATTAAGAAGCACAGTCTTAATTCAATTCAACTTATTTACTTGCTAATTATTAATAATTACTATTGTTAAATTACAACAAATTCCACTTAAATTCTCAGTGAGATTTAACTTCCGAGAACGATGTTTTCGATTGCAAACTAAACGTCTTTGAATTTTTAACATTAAATGTTTTTAAACTGGAACCTTAATCTAGTGATTGTAACCTAACAAGAACAGAATTGGTAGAAGTCTACAAATATTTAGTGAATGGGCTCCAATCACGAACTATCCTTATCTGTTTATTAGCAATACAGATGGAATCTACACACCCCTCACATCCAGAGTGACCCAGAGCCATAGCTTCTTTTCTTACTGTTAATGGGACATGTCACCTTGTAGAATTGATAGTATACATCAGTTTCTTTCCCCCTCCTCTTTATTCTGACCTTTTCTACCCCAAGTTGATTATTCTTGGCAACAAACATCCTACCGTTGACCGTGTTCACTTAAGCAATTATAGGTGATCCAAAAGCTATTGGGAAAAAAAAGGTGATTATGAAAGTCAAATCCTTTGGTCAGTAAATGCAAACTTTTAACCTCCACCACATGTGCCAACCCCTTAAAGCAATGTTTCTCAACCTTGGCAACTTGAAGATGTCCGGACTTCAACTCCCAGAATTCCCCAGCCAGCGAATGCTGGCTGGGGAATTCTGGGAGTT